TATTAGTATCAGCAGTGCTTAATGTATTTTATTAATAATAAAGATTTAATTATGTGATAAAATATAATGAAAATGCAGGCATCTAATATCAAAAAGGTAAACATCCCAAGCCTACAAGACTAACTACCAGCTTCCTGACTTCTAAAACTGAAGGTTTGTTTTGCCTGTATTTAAATTTTGTCAAAGTGGAATCACAGAGTTTGAATCCAGCTTCCTGCACAGAGTTATCTTATAACAGAAAAGAATCTATTCTGAAATATGGATTCATTCCCTTACATTGCTGCCTGGATTCTCCCGTACACTGTGGACTACATCTTTTCATCTGTAGAGGGGGACTTCGCTTGCTTCCGGTGTGGGGCTACTGACTAGTGCTGCTAGGAACATGTTCTCCCACATGAACGTGTTTTTCCAGAGTGGCGAGGAGGAAGGGGATCTCAAGCCCTAGCATGTGGTGCACTTTGTGAGACACTACTAGTTGTCTAGAGTCATTAAACCAGTCTGCGTTCTCACCAGTAGGGTGTGGGCCCGAGGGCCAACATGTTCCAACTGCCACGTGGTGTTTCCCATCTTTTTAGTGTAGCTATTGTCCACATGTGTAGCGATAACTCCTTGTTTTAATTTGCACTTTTCTGATCTCCGAGCTGAACACCTTTCATAAGTTCCTGGCATTGGATTCTTCTTTATTGAACCTCTCCTTCAATTCTTTGGTCATCCTGTCTTGCAAAAATTCTTTACAAATTGAGTATTAATAGTATTCCCCCCCCCAACCTGTCTTAATTTTTTACTTCCCTGATTTCCAATTAATGTGGCATCATTTATTTAAAAATGAGGATTCCCAAGCTTGGTAGTATCCCCTTCCCCCTAAATTAAGCAAACATGTACAAGTTAATTTGGGAACTTTTCTTAGAGTCATTGGTATGTTTTCCAAAACACTTCACTGTCTTACTCACTGTAGGTTTACAAATAGTTTTATAGTATTGTCTCCTAGTTTGTTTTTTTTTACTTCCTTTTCACATTATCTTGACAATTCTTGTGCCTTTGCGGTTTTATATAAATATTTGAATTCATCTTTCAATTTTCACAAAAACCTCCTGACGTCTTTATTGAGATTGCAATTCATCTCTGTGTCAGTGCTTAGGGGATTCACATCCTAAAAGTACTGAATGTTACAACCCCAAATGTGATATATCACCTTATTCACATTTTAAAATTTTCTCAAAATTCTGTCTTACATTGTAAAGAGGCTATTCCAAGATGTGTTTATATTAATCCTATTATAGTTGGCATACCATTTCCTCAATTTCATTTTCTAATTTTTGTTACTGGTATATTATAAATGCATTTTATACTTAAATCTCAACTATGAGTCTAGCATTACTTTCTGACCTTGATAATTCCAACATTTTCTGCAATGAGTCCTTTGCATATTCTCTAAAAACTATCATGTACTTTTTAGTGAGAATTTTATATTTCCTTTTCCAGACCTTTGACATTTTACTTTCTTTCTCTGGCAAGACTTTGAATATAAAAATGACTATAATGACAGTAATAGGTGTGATGGTTAATTGTAGAGTTTTTGAAGATAACCCTTGCCAGATTAGTAAAATTCTCTACTGTTCTGACCTGTGAAGTTTGATCCATGAACAGATATGGATCATCTAGTGAGATGATCAATGAATTGTTCTCCTTTATCCTATGAATGGGATGAGCTAAAGGGAAAAAATGTGATAGATTGTTTCCTATGTTTGTACTGAGGATAAATGAGATTACACATGCAGATTGCTTGAAACAGTGCCCGGAACAAAGCAGACACTCCAGGTGTTTAAGTGTGAAGGTGTTTATGGTCTCTTTTTGTAGGTAGGGCTGTAAATGTGGCCAATGGGCAGAAAGAAGGCAGGAGAGAGGTCCCGAGTTTCTCAGTCTTGCCCTGTAATATGTTCCCCATTCAAGACAAAACAGCGATGTTTTACAAAATGATTTCATTGTCCACTTTTCAATATAAATGCTATAAAACAAAACAAAAAATGCTATAAAACTTGAGAATTCTGTTAAAATGGGGAAAAGAAAAGGGCTCCACTGTCACTGTACCATACCATCAAGCAGTAATTTGAGCAATATCCCTACACAACTAATGGATGTATGACAGTTGTGGAACCATGCTTGTCTTTCAGACAAACATGATTTCTTTGTTTGCTATATTCTCCATTCTTTGCTTTATGTGACTATTGGTCATGCTACTACTTGTTGATTGGATATACATACACACAGATTACTTTAAATAATCCAAAGTTAGTAATAAATGTAGAAATAGCAGTGGATTTCTCAAATATAGAAACCATAGGCAGAAAACTGTGTCAATATTTCCTAGCAGATAATCAGGGTACATGCTATTATCAAATTTACTTTCCAGTGCATGAAATTATGGACTTGTGGTAAACAGGCTTGATGCAGTAACAAGAAAATGACCTTGATTTTGGCTCTAAAGTTCAATCTGAGTTGATTTGTGTCTGGCAATATGGACATGATTAGTTGGAATAGTGAATTCTCCAGAGCAAAACAAATATTGTCAACAGTGAGTTTATACAGCAAGCATGATTTTAAAAAGGAGTATTTCATTTAGCTAATCTTGTCGGTAATTTTGCTATCTTATTGGCAGCAGTTCCTTTGGCTGTGTGATAATAGAAACACATTTCATTGTTTTGGTCCTTCTGGCTTTAGACTTTGCATTTTTACAACATAAATATGGGAAACTAGCTGAGACAATATACAATATAAATGATATATAAATAGCTTGTACTGTAGTGTTTTTTATTTGTATTACTTTTATGGTTGTCTATTTGTCTTTTATTTATTTTGTTTTAATATTTTCCATCCCTGGTGACTGAACACACAGATGTGGATATGGAAAGCCGGCTGCACATCCCATTAGGGAATGTTGGCTTGCATGATACTATTTTTAATATTCTAGCTGGAGATTGAGTCCTGCAGTCATAACCTAATGTACTAACTCTGACTTTTAATCATTGGCAAGATGAAGTCAAAGATAAAATATCTGTGTAACTGAATATCATAGAAGTAGATATCTATGAATGGATTCACCAAAGCTCAGGAATGGCAGAACCGTTCTGAAGCTTGAGAAGAAAAATTCTCCCTTAGAGCCTCCAGAATGGAATTTGGCCTCCTAACAGCTTGATTTTCACCCAGGAAGATCCAATTCGGTCCTCTCACCTCCAGAAGATAACACGGTGATGTTGCCCAAGCAATCACATTTGTGTGCATTTGTCCCAGTCGCCATAGAAAGCAAGTATGCAGCACTATGTGATTTAAAGCTTGTACCAAGATTAGTGTACTGGCCTTCCTGGTATTCTTATTTTTAGACGAAGGGAAGGAGACTGAATGAGGTTCCAGGACTCATTTGTTCAAGTCCACGTTCCTGTATGGTTTTGCTTAAGCCTCCAAATTCTGCTTCCTGCACCCTGAATCCAAGGGGGGAAATTTAGGGGCAGACGGGAAGTTAGGAGGACCAGCTAATAATTAGGGGAGTAGCAGTGGCAGATGGAGGTAGAAATGTGTGAGCTGTCAGTAGGAAAGTAATTCTGAAAGCCACAGGAATAAGTGAAATGATTCATGGACGTGACAAGGAGAGAGGAACTCAGGGATGGTGACTTTTAGAGGAGAGGAAAGACAGGAAGGTAAAAAGGGTATCTCCTGCATCGTTCTTGGCGAATCCTCTAAGTAAAACATAGTGACATTGTAAAACTTGCAGAGGATGCTGAGGATTCATGGGATCCTCACACGGAGCCAGCCTGGTTATATTATCGCAACCGGAAGTCCCCCGGCTATTCTTAATCAGAGAACATCAGTCACGTCTGGATCCTATCTTGGGACTTTGACATTTGTGATTACTCCCTGCAGCTAGAACCAAGCTCTCCCACGTCATAGCCGCAAGCCACCTAGAGCTGTTGCAAGGGAGTCAAATAAAATAGAATGAAGAATTTATTTCTGCAGTGCCACTGGTGACATTTCAAGGGCTTTGTAACCATAGATCACCAGTGGTAACCACAAGTAGTATGAGTCCGTCATCCTGGATGCCCAATCCTTACTCTAATATAAGGCACCTGTGGAAGACCGTAACCCTTGGTCAATATGCCCTGTCTGCCTACTGTCTGTTTCTATCTGTTCTCTTCTTACCGGACATACACCTTATGCATGTATTATCTGTCTAGTTCCACTGATTAGTAGGATTCAAGGCAGCAGCTGCTTCAGTGGTCCTGTTTCACTGCTGTTGAAGGGGAGACTGTGACTCTACTCCCGGAGTGACTTCAACCTTGTGTGTAATGCATAATTCTTTTCTGAAAAAGTCTGGATTTCTGCTGCATAAAAATTAAGACCCCCCCCCCCATTTAGCAATTTCCCTTTTAACTAAACATCGTGGGTGCCTACTTTGTATCTGTTTACTTTCACAGATTTAAAGCTCTTCTTTTCTGGTCCCAAATTGCTCAGAGCAAGTTCTCGCTAGATCAACCCAGTTTCATCAAAGAGTTTTTCCCTCTCTGAAAAACCCCCATCAAACACTTGGCATGAACATTTGGGACAAAATGTTAATCACCAGCAAAGCAGTGCTATTTTACACCCTGGACACACTGATGTGATTAATAAACCCAAGGCTGTCAGAGTGTCTTTTCCCACACTCAATGAGTTGCTTGTCCATCATTTTCTCTTCTCTTCTTTCACACTTTATCTGGAAAATATGCTGCCCTGCCCAGCAATGAAATTATGCAAAGGTTCAACATTCCTCCCCATGACGTTGGAACACAGAGTCGTATTTCAGCAGGGCTGAGAGTTTGGGAGATAGGATCAATAGTCCATGCGTGGAAAGCCAAGCGTCCTGGCTCTTCTAATAACACATCTTTTTCAAGGGGCCGGGGATTTAGCTCAGTGGTTTCGCCGCCTGCTGTGCAAGCACAAGGACCAGAGTTCGATCCCCGGTACCAAAAAACAAACAAACAAACAAAAAAAAACACCAAGACATCTTTTTTACAGTACCACTTACAGTTGAAGTAAATATTCATAGCTAAATTTTCAGGTTTGAAGAAAATATTTTTGGTCTCGTGTGAGTCTAATGGCTTATCTTTATCAAACAATATAGAATTGATGCATGTCTAAAGATTCTCCCTTAAAACAGGAAGTAAAAGAGGTTCTCCTATGACCTCTTGGGTAGGATTTTTGCTAGGTTAGTCTCAATAGTCGCAACATATTTGGAATCATTTCATTATTAATTTACTATTTATCTTTCTTTTCTGCTTAGTGCTTATATTTCAACACCTGGTTTCCTCTGGCAGTGTCTTACTTTTTCCCACTTACTCTGGTGTTTTTAACTAATCAGAATTATACCAAAGCTTTGTGGTTTTTTGGGCTCATTTATGCATTTTAAAAAATTTCCTATAGACTTTTATGTTCTCTCTTCCTCTTCTCTCAGTTTTAAGAACATCACATTATATGACATTGTGGTTCAGATGTTGAATGTCCCTCAATGGCCTGTGTATGATGGCTTGGTCACCAGCCTGGTCCTATTGGCAGATGGTGGAACCGTTAAGAGGTGGAGTCTAGCAGGAGGAAGTTAGGTCTTTGAGGTCATGAGCAAAACTTTCCTCTTTGTCTTCCCAACCATCAGGAAATGGTTTTGCTCCACTACAAACTACCTCCATGATTGGCTGCTTCCCCAGAAGACTCAAAATAAAAAACAACAGTGTGTCCACCCTCTCGTGTACTGGAGCTTTTTGTCAATATAAGCTGATGGTTTCAGGTCTTTATTCAGAAAGCTAGGTAACACTGATGGAATGTAACTTCCAGGCTGTTTTGTGTTTGTGTGTTTTGATGTTACAGATCCCAGTGTCAACCGATATCACGTGCAGTGGCTTCCGGAAGTCTGTGCTCACAACAGGACAGCTGGAGCGGAGACATCCTTGGGCATGACCCACGTAAGGAGATGATTGTACCCACCAACTCTGAGGAGCTTCTAGGTGCATTGGATCTGTGCACTCTTTGGACAGAAGAATGTGCAATGGGGAGATGTCATGTGCATAACTCACTCTCACAAGCAAACTGTTAAAGAATGACTTGATGAAAGCTGGGAGGAAACTGGGCATGACACTCACTCATGTTTTTCTTTCAATTTTTATTTTTACTAGTACATTTTTCAGCCAACATGGCGGGTATGTTCTAAGACTCAGACACTGAAGGCACAGTGCCTAAGGAACTGATAGATCAGTTAGAAAATACTTAGGAATTTCTGTGTGCTTTATCTTAACCAGAACAACCCTAAGATTTATTTCTGAGTTTGGACCTGGCACTGTGACCTAGTAGTATCATTTTACCCATACATTTCTATGACGCTGCTCTTCAATACATGTCTCTGCCATTTCCCCCCTTGCCATCAACACATTTGCTTAATGAAAGATACTAACTATCCCAGACAACGGACTCATCTTTTGTCTTTCAACTTTAAGAGAACATTAAGCTCTTTGGGATAGCAACTTTATCAATACCACATCAAACATTATTTCAAATATTTTGGGGTTAACACATGAGTTAGCGATTAGAGTCAAACCAACCAAAGTGTTTAAGAAAGCATTTTATTGTACAAAGTGTGGACAGCAGTTTATGTATAATCTATTAGGACAGTTTAAGAAATCAAACAACACAGCCCAAAAGGTTACAGTATTTTCATTTGTGAAATGTCACAAGACCACTTTTCTTTTCAACACTCTCTAAACAATTCAATATTTCTAGAATCATACCTGATCCCGTAACATTAAGATAATGTGCTAAAACAGGTAGCTAGATTTTCAGAATTTTGCAGCTTTTTAAAAATAAATTTGACCCATCTCAACCCATGTTTATTAGTGTTTTTCCTTTAATTTTTTCCCAAAACTTATGACCATCTAAGACATTCTAGGAAACTAAAATGACTTGAAATGTACAGAAACAAACAAGCAAACAGTACCTTGGGACCCTACAGAATCCTGCTGAATTTCTTGCAGCCACCACATCCTAAGCTTCTCATTTTTAGGAACACTGACCAGGATAACTATTCACCAAGCCTATGTAACGAATCTGGTAGAAATAAGAATCAAAATCCAACAAAAGCATGTCACTGAAGGCTTGGAACTCATCCCTTTTCATTATAAGATGACTTTCAGACATAGTAATTTGCTTTCATGTTACAACAGAGCCTCCAGTACTTTGCCTACCATTGCCTTCTTTGCCACAGGAGGACAAGTTTGAAATGCCTGTGAGGCACAATCCTTACTGGCTCACTCTGGGTCACAATATACTTCTATAAATCACGCAGATTCCTTCTTAGAGAAAAGCAATGCAGGGTCCCAAGGAGACACAGCAGGCTGGGGTTGTCTGCATCGAGTTGCTTCCTTGTCGTGTTTTGGTGCTAATTGTACAGAACGGAGTCCACCTCATCGATTTCTAGATCAAAGGCCAGCATCCTAGGCAATCACGTCTCATCCTCTTTGTATGTTTCATGCCGTGAACTTGCAAGAATCCTATCACCCAGGAAAGTTTTGAGCTTCACTTTTTATTTTAATTTTTTTTTTTTGTACTGGGGATTGAACTTGGGTCCTTGTGCTTGCAAGGCAAGTGACAGAACCACTGAGCTACATCCCCAGCCCCTTTATTTTAATTTTTGCTTCATGTTTTGCCCTCACCCTCTGAACTGTCTGGTGGGAAACCTGATGCTTTCCTTAAAGGATACCAGACAAGGATATTCCATCTCTACCATTTATATACACCTTAAATGGAAAATAGAATGCAAAAGCCTAACTTGACAGCCAGATATAAAAGAATCATAGCTGCAAACTTGCTCTAACAGTGAATGTCATCAATCATCACTGGAGTGTAGCTTCATACTCTTTAAGGTTCTGACTCCTGGGCAGATTAGCCTGTTTCTTGTATTTATATTTAAATCATGACATTATGACAGGAAGCAGTAATAGAACTTCAGAAAGAGGAAAAAGTACATTGCTAAAGGATATCATTCCAACAGAAAAAGTTAACATAATCTAAGCCTGAGTTCATTGTTTTAACAAAAAAAGACAATTACATTTCTAATCATGGGTTTAGACCACCACTCACAGGCCTGCCAACCCCAAAATGCTTGCTGCCAATGTTGGAAGTTGTGTGGTTTGATACAGAACCATGATAGTATGGCGGAATTCTGGAGGATGCATCCCACGGCCACGGGAAGGTTTCACAATTGTAATTAATCAAAGAAAAACAGGATGCTCTTTGTCGTTTTTATGAAAACCATATTGCCTGTGCCATATATACAGAAAAAGATCCTGGCTGTGGTGTGATTTCAATTCCTACCCAATGTTTTATCCCTAATGAGATTTAGTATTTATCACTGGCATATTCTCTTTCTCTTGCTCTAGGAAAATTATATAATTCTTCAAGACCTGTCATTCTCCTGCAAATATAAGGTGACTGTCCAATCAATAGGGCCAAAGGGTCTCTCCAAGGCAGAAGCCATTTTCTTTACTACGCCACCGTGCTCCACTTTGAAGGGGAAAAGCCACAAGCACATCAGTTGTCCTGGGGAGACAGGTATGTTCCGACCTACAAAACCTCCACCTCCAGGTCTAGGATATCGACAGTACTTTGAGGCACATTTCCGAGCTGTATTTCACAAGACTCTGAAGCCCCAAAGCACAGCTCTTTCTCAGTTCTACTCTATGAAGTATAATCAAAACACACGGCTAATGTTTACATTTAAAAATCTAATACAGTGAGACAGTGCAGTCAGTCTCCCTCCAAATCCCTCCTTCATCTTTGAACACTTTTACCCCATCATTCTTGCCACTTTCTGAAGCAGTTCTGAAGTCCTCCTCTGTGTCTTTATGAGATGTGATCAAAACAACAGTGACTGCTGCTGCTGAGCACCATGCAACTGAAAGGCAGGCTCATAAAAACATCCACATCCACCTCATTTCCTGGATTTGGCTCCTTGTGACTGCCGGCTCTTCCACAAAGTCAAAATGACCATGGAAGGTCAACATTTTGAATCCATGCAGGGCATCGAGGCACCCAGGACAGCACATTTAAGACCCTCATGAAAGAAGACTCCAGAACTGTTTCAGAAAATGGCAAGAATGATGGGACAAGTGTATTCAAAGTGAGAGGGAAGATTTTCAGGGGGATTAGTGGCTCAGTGTCTTTTGCTATAATAATTTTTTTTAAGAAAATGTGAACATTCACTATATTTTTTGGTTGCATCTCACAGTGGCTCAATTTGTAGGGAAACAGATTAGGAATGTGTGTATTATTTTATAATCCTAACAGCATTGGAATGATGTCCTTCTCTGACAATATTAACCCATTAGAAATGAGGCCAGATAGTTCCGTACACATTGGACTTGATGTACTTCAAAGTCAACCATTTCATTCGTATCCACCCAGCGCCTTCTCCTTGCCAGAGCTTCTATCAACCACTGCAGCCAACTCTCTAGGGCTCCGTATGTGGAGCCCCCAAGATCCCTCCATCTGCACTTCTGAGATCTTCAAGACTCCCCCCTTCTCACCATAGTCATTGCTGTTGCTAAGAAATGGCTTAGTCTTGCTGGAGATTAATGTCTCACCCTCTTCTATTCCCAAAGCAGAGTTCTAAAAAATAATTTATAAAGGATCAGTGCTTAGTGAAAAGTATGCTTAGCATACGTGAACAGGGCAATAGCCTACTGCCGTGCCTAAAATGAGGTCAGATTACCCTCCCTTAAATGGCATCCACGAGTTTCCGTAATGAACGGGTGGACACTCTCTCCAGTAACCTAACCCTGCTGTCTTTTTTTCTATATCACCACAGGTCACATTCTCTCCAAAGTGCTTGCCAAGCCAGAGAACCTTTCTGCTTCCTTCATTGTCCAAGACGTGAACATCACCGGACACTTTTCTTGGAAGATGAGCAAGCCCAATCTCTATCAGCCCATGACTGGGTTCCAGGTGACTTGGGCTGAGGTCACGACAGAGAGCAGACAGAACAGTTTGCCCAACAGCATCATCTCCCAGTCCCAAATCCTGCCGTCGGTAGGTGGAACTTCCTTCCTCCTGCCCTGTCCTGGGGACCCATGGCTTGCTTTCAGGGGCCATTGGCCATTGGCCATTTCAGGAGCTCTCTCAGTCTCCATGTGTGCTGTGTGGGTTGAGACTCATTTCTGCATTTTCTTTTTTTCTGAGTGGATCATTTTGTAAGCCTTGACACATTGCAAGTATTATTGTGACTGTAAAGACTGTCATCCACTTGCATTTTGATTAGTAAGGGCCACTTCCACAGACCTCATGTCGCCCTTGTGTGCAAGAGATTTTGCCTTTTTCTTCTGTCTTTGTTAAGCCCATGCCCTTCTGGTCCAAGTGGCTATGCCCTGTTTGAAGTGCTAAATTGGGGGGAAATAGCTCAAAGAAACTTTCTGTCCGTCTTTATTTCTCCCTTCAAATTTGGCTACAGCCCACATGACTTGGCCAGTCTTCTAAGCCACTTAATTCCTTGGCTTGAAAAAAAATCATCTGTGGGCTTTTACCCACTCTGAAAACCTTCTTAGAATATCCATCTCTTGCTCAAAAACCTAAAAAGAAGAAGAAGAAGAACAAACCCTTTTAAATTTTGGAAGGAAGTGTTCCGTGGAATGAGAAACTAGTTATTTTATGAATGTACAGGGTTTTATTGAGTTTTAAGAAGAATGTGTTGGCATAAAAATAAACATTTTCAGTTATGGCTATTGATAGATAGGTTGGGTTTTAAGGAAAACAGTTGGCTCATTCACTGAAATTTGGACGATCAAGAATTCACATTACAAGATGTGGAGCTGAGAAGGGTAAGCCATGGGAAAATCTCATGTTAAGGCATAAAAATAAGTAAATAAAAGATGAAATCCCAGGAGTGAGCACTGAGAACTGGCTCCTTGGCCCATTTTAACGCTGCCAAGCACTGCAGGCTGCCAAGATTTGAGCTAGGTGCTAAGAAGCCATGTGTCAGGCAGAGCCAGGAAATCTGCAGAAATTATGCTACAAATTCAGCTGTTGTTTTCAAAAGCAACCGAGCATATGATGCTCTGCATTGAGTGAAGAAGCTGCCATGGACCACATGCTCATCGTGTGTTGTCCCTACAAGGTCGTTAAAGAGTGTCCCATCTCCTGTCACTCCTCAGGATCACCACATGCTCACCGTGCCCAACCTGAGGCCGTCCACCCTGTATCGCCTCGAAGTCCAAGTGCTGACCACAGGCGGGGAGGGCCCAGCCACCATCAGGACCTTCCGCACCCCCGAGCTCCCGCCCTCTGCAGTGCACAGTGAGTAGCACGTTCGGGGAGTTAAGGGGCCCAGGCAGTCCTAGTTAATGGGGAGAGAAGTCTTGGTGATAAATAAAAACATATAGACAAATTATTGCAGCTTTCTTGGAGGGGGCAATTCTCCTTTGCTGAAGGTCTCCATTCATGTCTGCTTACTGGTAAATGGACCCTCGACTTACTAAGTTCATTCCCGAGGGCTGGTTGTAATTCAGGTTGGTCAGGCGCCTCTACACAGCCTTCAGGGTCTCTCTCCTGCATAATTTAGGCCACACTTTCTTCCAGGCAGAGCTCAGGGTCCTTAGAGAGACCCTGGCCCAGGATTTGTCAATGAACCCCACACAGGAGAGGATGCTGTCATGTTCCTTCCAGAGCTCTTTAAGGGTTCAGTCTGTGTCTGAGCCCATCTGGAAGCACAAGCAGCTGGAATGTGGGTCATAACTCAAGACTTTGGCTGTAAGTTAAAACTAAAATTCTAGTCATAACCCAAGTTGTTTATGTGTCAGGCCGGTCATAACTTGAGAGTCCACTGTATTTTGTAACTACCTTTCTCAAAAGTTGTATGGTTGCTGTTTGCTCCTTTTTGTTCCTTCCCTTCCTTCTTTCTCCCTTCCTTCCCTCCTTCCTTTCCTCTTTTTCCCTCCCCTCCCTCCCTCCCTTTCTCCCTCCCTTCCTTCCTCTCTACCTCTCTCCCTCCCCTTCTCTTCCTCCTTCCCTCCCTTCCTTCCTTCCTTTCTTTCTCCCTTCCCATACCCTCTCATTCCTTCCTCCCTCCTTTCTCTTTCCTGTTTCCTTCCCTTCTCTTCCTTTTTCTTCCTTGCATTTATTTCTTCATAGTAGATGTTTTCCCTTATCTTTTAGGTCCATAAATATGGAAAAAAGATCCAGCACCTCATATCAGTTTGAATTTTTTAATTAAAAACTTTTAAGTATGACAATATCTGAAATGATAAACAATAGTGCTTATTTTCTTATTACATAGATTTTATTGTTATATATGATGTGAATTTTCCTGTAATATACCCAAATCCATCTACTTGATTTAAATCAAGGAAAAATAAATCAAGTAAAATTGAAGAAAAAATATGTTCACCTACTCTTTTAAAGCAAGTAGCTTCTTGTTGATTTTTATCTTATGCATTTTAATAATTTTTGTCAGCCTAAATTTAAATGGCAGTGTCTAAAGATTTGTGTATTGGTGAGAAAATTGAGAATTAGTCTGTTTTAACTCTGATTTTTTTCAAAATAATGAGTCAAACTTACCTCTATAACTTGGTCTGATTATAATATGTAGAAAAGCAAAATGGGAGAATTTGGTGGTCCCTTATGTTTGTAAAGGTTTGTATTAGTCAGCTTTCCCATCTCTGAGACAAAATACCCAACACTCACAACATAAAGGAGGAGAGGTTTAATCTGGCTCAGAGTTTCAGAAGTATTAGTCCATGGTCAGCTGTCTCCAAGGCAGAAACATCATGGTGGAAGGGCGAGCAGGGAAGGAAGAGAAAAGATGCTTAGGTCATGGTGGCCAGGAAGCAAAGGCCAACAGTGCCAGGGAGGGAGGGGAAGGGACCAGATATAGTACACAAGGTCACACTTCCATGACCCACCGAAAAGGGTGCTGCACTAGTTCCCCAGACAGCTCCCAAGCCAGTCAAGCTGATACAATCAAGATTCAGTACCCCAGGATTGGAGGAAATGCTTCTCTGATATTCCTCCATCGACATTCTGTTTATTAAAGTTGTTAATTTTAAAAAACTTTTTTAAGAAAAGAAAAAGATCACAGTTTGCTTAAAGAATGATGAGCTTACACATGGAGCTTATGTTCTCTCTGTGGTTTGAGGGAAGGAGCAAAGAAAAGGGAAGAGATGAACTGGGAGAGGACAGGGTCAGAGAGAAGAGAAGGAGAGAGAGAATGAGTGAATACGTGTTTGCATATTCAAATGCAGTACAGGAAAGATCACAGCCTGCTCTAGGAGGGAACATTTGACCAGGTCTAATGCCATCTCTACAAATTAATGGGTTCCCACTCTGTTCGGTGCGTAAAGTGTAGGGCTGATGGCTCTTGTCACTTCTTAGGACCCCATCTGAAACATCATCATGCACATCATTACAAGCCATCTCCAGAAAGATACTAAGCTGCTCCCAGCCTGTCTCCACGTTGCCCGGATGTGTATGCTTGCTGAACTTCACCCTCTAGACAGTATCCCTCTAGAACAGTAGGGACTCCTCAGAGACTGCACAGTAAGTACTTCTGCCAATCACAGGCCACCTGGAAACAGTTGATTCGTCATCAGCGAGTGCAGACAGACACCAGTTCCCCAGCCAAGAGGAGAAAACTGAAGAAGACATCTATGGAACTTGGAATTTCATTTCTGTCTGTGGTCTCACTAATCTCTTTTGGATTTCTGCAGAACTGAGATTTCCTTGAATTTAGAGCAGCAAGATCTCACAACAGAGTAGTGTAACAAATACACAGTTTATACACATACTAAGTATACATTTAATCAATAAAATGTATTTTTTATTAAATTATTGTTTTGATTTGCAAAGTCAACTAAGATTATACGGCCTTTGGGTACTATTTCTTTACGCATTCATGAAGTCTTTTTAACTGAAAATTTATAACCTGAATTATACCCATGAAGTTTAATCTAAAAAATTCCTTATGTAAGTACCCTCAGGTTCTTTTTAGATAAAGGAAAATGAAAGCTCAATCTGTCATTTATTATCTCCAAGACATCCAAAACTGGCAATGCGTAAACTAGATTATGGAGAAATGGAAATTCTTCTCTGGGGAAACCTTTAAATGTTTCATCCAATCTGAGAGATTTTCCTAATCTTTGACCTTATTTGTATTCTTCGTCAGTGCAGAAAATAGCTTTTGGTGTGTTTTGTTTGCCATCTGAAAATTCACAAAGCTGCCTGCTTCAGGTGAAAGAATTACAACAATTGGGCATTTTCAAATCTTTACAAAGATGTGCTTTTTCTTGATCTAAGGAAGCTATTTGCATGCTATAATATTCTCCATAATATAAAAACAAAAGGACTTCTATTGAGATAAAAAGGATGATTATCTTCCTTTAGTTCAAACTTTATTGTTTGGAAAATTCCTCTACTCCAACCTACCCCAGTAGCATGAGCTCCAGTCAACACGTGTTATCAGCATATGGTACTGAATTGTGTTGTGGGACAACCTAAACACAGAAATGTTTAGTTTCATCTATTTTTTTTTCTTGAGAGACTGCATATATATGGGGTTTTAAACATGCATAGATTTGTATCTGTACACTTATTATTGTGTGTGTATATATATGTATGCACAAATATATATGCACATCCTTATATACACACACAGACCCTTCCATATGGTATGAATCCCTAAAGAAATTGTTTTTGCGCTTTGCTGGTGCTGGATAGAGATGTTGTTTTTCCAAAGTTGATAAGGATAATATATTTTCCCCATCAATGTGGATTCCATGAGAAAGGAGCAATTTATCAAAATTAATCTCCATAAAAGAAAGGCTTCCTCATTTCATTATCTATGCAAGTACAAGAACGAGAAAACAAGTAAGATTATTTTAGCTTTTGATGATAGGATGGACTTACTCCTTATTGTTTCACTGTCTTCTGGATGCTGATGGATGCCTGGCCTTGATTTGCTGAGCTCTCACTGCAGTGTTCAAGGAAAGATAGGTGGAAAGTAAGTAAGATGGGGAGAAGCTCCTTCTGTCGTTACATTGATGCAGATATTTAGGAGACACGGTCTAGAAACATGGATGCTAATAATAGATATGGAAAACTCTTTCCTGTGTGTTAAAGTATTTAGAAAGTGGAGAATGGTGGGATGTTTTGCAGCTTTGTACAAGCCACATCCAGTGGGAATTCAGAGTAGCGTGGAAGTCCATGTTAACATTCTGAATAGCTTTCTGCAGCCGTCACTGGATGGACTGAGCACAGCATTTCCTCAAATCACCTGCTTCCAAGTATCTGAGTGGAGAACACAGCCTTCACTGAAAACCCCCAGGTGCAGGCACACATCATAGAGATCTGAAACTATGATTATTCTAGTGCTGTCACCAGCACTCGAATTGCAAGTTTTTAAAATCAAAAATTACAACTTCTCATGACTGGCTATGTGTTTTATCTTTCACTTTCTTTATAAACAAATCTCAAACATTTATGCCACCAGGGCTTTGTACTATTGTATAGTTCAAAATGCAGGAGTATATACAGAGATGCAAAATATTATTAAATTATTATATAAATTTAACTATAAAATGTATGGGGGTTTTTGTCCAGGTAAATAACATTGAGCAAATATATTTTTAGTTCAGATATGGATCTGAAGCTTATATCATCCTCAAAAAAATTTAAAACAGCCTTTATAATCATCTAATTTGGATATAATATTGAAAAAACAATTAGTGTTGTTAGATGAAAACTATTAATGAGGTGATAAAAGAGACATGTTTCTGTCTTGAATTTTAATAATCTCTAATAATAATCAAATGATTAACATGTAATTATAATTTTTCAAAATTTAAACATGTGAGTACCATTTTTCATAAAGCAGTTTCAGTTCTTCATTCTCTAATATATTGTATTAAAATAGATACATTTTTCTCACAAAAAATATATGCAGAGTTTGCATTGACTCAAACATTGAGCTGGTCAAAAATATTGTCATCAAAGACAGATGGTTAAGTTGATATAAACTACAATTGTATGCATTATTCTCACTCACACCAAAAACCCTTTAATAATGAATTTTTCTGTGCTTCTCTCTTTTGCGAAATGGAACTCTGTGGAATGACTTTCCCAAATCAAGATGTTGCCATTCAATCATTCATTGATAAATAGGCTAGATCACAGACAGAAAGCTTATGGTGGGTGACTGCTTAAGCAATGCTTAGAGATTCCAAATTCTAGAAACCCAAGAGAATAGATAACTGGCTCCAGAGAACAAGATGTATCAACTTCAGCACTATTAAACTGAGGGCTGGCTAGGTCTTTATTGCAGGGGCCTGGGCATTGTGGGATATTCATCAGCATCCTGCTTCGGCCCGCTACTTCCCCTTTTCCAAATTGTGGCAACCAAAAAATAATGTTCCTAGGATTTCTCCCTGCCCCTAGGAAATGGGCACCTCCCGCTAAAAACCAGTTCAGTAGAGTGGTTTTCACGGAACAAAGGGAAATTGCCCTTTGAGAAGGAACCAGCCCTGGAAAAATCCCAGCCAAGACCTTAACACATTTGACTTCAAAGACCTTCCTTGAATCTTCTGTGTCCACTGAAGAACCTTGTTAGAAGACTGAATTTCAACTTGTCTCTGATTCATGTGAGCAGAAGTATTAATCCACCTTAGGTACCAGTAAATGGCATTTGTGAAGTCAACTTATTTATTTAATGCTCTTTCTTACACTGTGACCATGGGTTCCTTGAGTTTCACACATTTGGGTGATTACAAACAGCTCTAAATCTTTTCCAGTAAACATTCACACTATAGCCAGAACTCAATGGCTAGGTGTCTGCATGTACTTCAGAGATGATTTTAAGATAGAAACAAATCCATGAAGGTGTTGCGTCTTAGCTATGGTGTTGCATGGCCATACAGTTTCATGTGAGGTGTGGACTCCCCTGACTGTCTTACCGCCACTGAATATTTAACAAGTTCTATGATTTACAGAGTGATTAACAGAGGTCTATATAAAGCTATTATTTTTCCCTTTACTTAAATATATTCTAGTGTGCAGATAGGAGAACTGGTACTTTCTCATCCAAGTGGTCTGTAGAAATCATGTCCCTTATATTGTGCTCATTTAAAGTCAATATTTATTTATGTACGTAATAAAAAGTCTGATTTCTGTGTATGTCTGTCATGTTATTTAGAGATGTAATCCTGTAAAAAAAATTTTGTAAACAAAAAAACTCAGAAAAGTATTGTAAATAGCCTGATATTCTGTGACTCATTATTTTCATGTTAGAGTTTGTACATACTGATTCAGTAATAAAGGATCTTTAAACCTGCCCAACAAGTCGGCTCCTTTATTTCTTAAAGAAGTGCTATTTTTTCAATTAAGAAAAATTGGCAGTTTCTTATGCTGCTAGGAAGATTCAAAACACCCATCTCTCTCTGAGGGTATGAATGGAATTTGATGCCTGGTCAATGTGAAGAAGACAGCTCTTCATTTTAATGGGAATATTTTGGAGTCCGACTGCCAACACTTCAGAGTTATTTCACCATATTCACATTTGTAACTCCCACTAGTTTGGGTGGCATTTTTTAAAGCAATGACCTGCAATCTTCAGTTGCTTTTTCCTGCCTCAGTGTTCCATAATGCAATGCTGGTGAGCACCCACTCACATGTCTGTTTTTCATTGCCATATCCCATGATGAAAGGTGTCAGTCTCCAATATCTATGAAGAGCATTGGGGGTTCTAAATTCCCACCTTAACATGCAGTATTTGCTGAAGGATGAAGTATGTTTTTTAATGAATCATAAACTGATGTTATCCCAGGGAATCAGGGTCTTTTTTTCTTCTATGAAGTCAGTAATGTATATATTTGTCCATTTACCCAGCAGACATTTCCTCAATGCTCACTGTCTATGTAGTCTGCTTGAGCAGAGGGGCACTGATATAGAAACAAGAGCTCTCTGCCTCCGTGATTCTTTATGCTAGTACAAAATAACAGTAAGAAATAAGGATAAATGTGAGAAAGCAGGTGATTATAAGGGCTGTGCTCAGAAGAAAATGTGGCACTGTGCTACATGAAGCTCCTGTAAGGTGAGAGAGTCAGTCAATACTGCACCCAGCGGTGACAGCTCACCTGAACCCTGAACCCCTGAGCTCCAGGCACAGTGAGGAGGGTACGGTGAGAGGGCATCCACAGAGATGAGTCCAGCAAGTAGGAGGTCAGACAAGGACTCGGGAGGAATCTGGAGTCACACGTTTGTGCAGCACTCTAAATGATGTGTAGGAACCTGTGGAAGACAAATTCAGGAGCAGAAGATCAAGTAGAAAATGGTGGTCCTAATTCAGGTAACAACTAAAAGATTAACCCTCAGTGGTCATGTAGAGAGAGAACCAATGGATTGAGGTTGTGTTGGAAGTTGAATTGTCAAAATGTATCAATGTGGGGGGAAGCCAAAGGCAACAAGAAAACTGCCACTTAGAGTTGAGGCTGGGCTACCGTTTTCTGGAGCGATTTATCACTGTTTCATATTATAATCTCTTCCTAAAAGTTATGATTTTTTTCCTACCAAAAATGACTTAAAAGTCTGTGTCCCGATCTTGCCTAACAAAATTATTACATTACACCTGGAGATATTATTCTGACCATGGTTTAATAATTTTCAAACAGTGGAGAGAAATTCTTTAACAATAAGAAATACTACCTAAGGGCTGGGTATGGTGGCACATACCTGCATTTCCAGCACTTAGGAGGTTAAGTCAGGATTATGAATGAGAGGTCAGTTTGGGCTACACAGTGAGTTCAAGGCCAGCCTGGACTACATAGCAATACCTTATCTCAGAAAACTAAATGCAAAACAGAAAGAAAGAAGTGAAGGAAGGAAGGAAGGAAGGAAGAAAGACCATCTAAGAATATAGACATGGAACGCCATATCCTGTAGGACTGTATTTATGTAAAATATGCAGAAAAGATAAATCCATAGAGACAAAGTAGATTGGTAGTTGTTAGGCAGTAAGGAGGAGTGAATGAGAAGGGCCTGCTTCATGGCTGTGGGATTTTCTTTTGGGGTGGGGTTGATAAAAATGCTTTCAAGCTAGATGGTGGCACCTTTTTCATAACATTACAAATATCCTAAATGCCACTGAACTTTGCATGTTGAAATGGTTTGTTTTACATTATGCGACTCTTACCTCAATACAAAGAAAGTGTTAATATGACCACCCAATTTCCAAATGCTAACTCAGGTGTCTGTTCTAGTGGGTTTTAATCTAAGTACCATTTAGCGATCCTTGCCCAAGGTTAGAGGTTCCTAATTGCAATGTCAATGGTCTCTGGTTTTCAAGTGAAAAGCAAAACCAATGCCATAGGCACATAATTTTACTGGTCCCTATCTTGATGGAAAGTGGTAGAGAATGAAGATTTTATTGTTGACTCCTCCCAAGGATGATAGATCATGTCCCACATGAAGCCATGTGTGAAAGTGGCTGCTGTGTTTCCTCATCAGACCTGCTGAACACCCCTGTCCACTGTCTGAGCCACCAAACAGCTGTGATTCTTTCAGGAGGGCCGGGGCTCTGGACACACTCACTGGGTTGGGTGTTTTCATGAAGAAAAACAAAACAATTTCTTCCATGTTCTTTTACTACTGGAGCTCCACTGCAGGGTCAAGAGATTTTTAGGTGGGTAGAATTGCCATGGTAGGGACCCAAAGCCTTAGAAAGATTTTAAGTATTACTGCTTTAGACAGTTTTTTCTGCAGGAATGATTCTGGAAAATGAGACTCTGTTATGAATTGAGGAACAATTTTAATTGATATTCTGTGTTATTGATGGAGAGGTAACTGGGCGACAATGAAAATTTAGAAAAGAATTGGGCAAACATGAAAGGTGCTCATCCTTTCTTTACCTTGGATTCTGCAAAGCAAACATTTTATGATTACTGTGAAGATTGGCTTTAGACATAGAACTAAGTTAAAAATTCCAAAGTGAGTGTTGTGTGTGAGGGTGAGTGTGTGTGTGTGTGTGTGTGTGTGTGTGTGTAAATATCAGGTAACTGGCATAGGGGACCGAAGCTTTATAATTCTTAGACCAATTTAATTCAAGTTGTCTTTATATCCATACTTCCTGATTCCCAAGCCATGGGAATGATAGAATACATTTTAGGATAAGATGAGGAAAGTGAAAGGTTTATATATAAAAGGTTCAGATCTACACAGAACACGGAGGGATTATAAAAAGCAAAGACTAAAATGGAAAGGAATAGAATTAAGAAGGCATTTGGGAAAGAGCATAGAAAAAATCCCGTGGGCGAGGAGACAAGGAGGCACCATGACACCAAAGATGTAAGTACTGAAGTCCACAGTTCTTTTGCATATTAATCAAGGGTCAGAGACTGAATTTGCTGCCGAATCATTTTAAAATGGAAACACACCGGAGCAGCTGTCGCCAAGAAAATAAATTGTTAGTATATAGCAGTCAGGGAGTGGAGATTGATGAAGAATGGTATGTCATCTTGGTCCCCATGTATGATAAAATTTAAATGCAAATCTAAGCCCTCCACAGGGGGCGAATCTTCCCCAAAGTCTTAATTTTTTATTTCGAGAAAACTGTAGATCCATATGCAATTGTAACATGTACCTCTCCAAACTCTTTTGTTTCCCACAGTGGTGACATCTTCCAAAACAATGCCCTAACCAGGAAATTGACATTGATACGAATCATTACCTTATTCAGGTTTAACTGGTTTTACATGCACACACTGGGATGGCTGTGTGGGCGTTTGTGTGTGTATTTAGTTCTACATAGTATTATCGTATGTGTGCAAACCATTGTGCTTTAAGCAGATGTGCATCTGAAAGACACAATTACCAAAATCAACTAGTTTTAAAGAAACATAGTATATTTTTGCATGTTTCCCAAGGCTGAGTACAATTTACCTCATGTGGATTTTAACTTCGGTACTATAGAAATGATCAACTCAATATGTATTTGGTGCTGTCTTATTATTTTCAAAAATCAGTGGAACACTTAACAAGCCCATCTAGAGAAATCTACGTTGTCTGATGGAGCTAAGTAAAATCTATAGATCTGAAAAATTATTTCAGCGAGAGGACTCTTGTGCCTATTTATGGCCAATAGTGGGTTTGAAGAAATAAAAAGAATGGTGAAGTGTGTTATTGTTTAGAATGTGAAAGGTTGCCCAGAGTGGAAAAGAGAATCAAGTTCCAGAATAAGGTCAGGTTTAAAGATTGAGTTTTGCACCATCAGCTCGGATTATTCCCATGACCCTGACCTGGGGCAGAGGCTCTTGAAACTGGCTGCTGCGAGAATCCCCAGGGGAACTTTTCAGGAGACCTGTGTCCCCTGGCACCTTCAGGTCAGGACTGAAGTGCGGATACCGGAGCGATCTTAATACGTCACTGGATGTGGTCCCCTGGAGATCTTGCAGAGATAGTTTTGAATGAGGAATGTTAGAAACACCCATATGTGTGGAGCTGGTGAAGCGGAAAGTCATTTGAAAGCATCACATTGTCATTCCATGAGAGTGAACTGAAGTTTCTACCCCCACTCTTTCTGTTCTGGTAAATGATATAGAACTGCAGATGCATGATACGGGTATAGATTATTACATACCTTTCAACTTTCTTTTTGTTTTCTTTCAACATATCTCTCAACTTTCTGAATTATCTATCATGGGAAATATCAGCAGAGCACAGGGTAGTCAAATATAATTTTGGACATTTTAAAATGTTAGCAAAAATTACTTCTTTCTTCTTTGTGACCTTTTGAAAAAGCTTGCAAGGGGCAGCTGGTAGTGATTTAAGGGCAGTCAAAGATAGCCAATTAGAATTGATCCATCATTACACTTAATAGCACCAGACAGACTATCGTGCAATCCAAAGCTGATGCTGGCTTGACCTTTTCATCCCCGATATCTCCTTCCTCATCTCAAGCAGCAGCCAATCAAATGCAATTGGGCGCATTATGAATAATGGAAAAGATCCCGCATTCCTCTGTGGAGTGCTCCCCGTGGTATTGCACTGCTCAGTCCAGTGGCACTGGCCTTACTGCACAAGGCCATCCCTGTAGTTTGTTGTGACTTACTGGAGAGACTGCTTATAGAAGCAACCCTCCAGAGGTGACATTCGCATAGACTGACTCACTGTGGGATACTAAGTGTGTCACTGCCCGCCTTCATCCATTTCCCCAGCTACCCTCCAGAGCCGGCAACATTTGAAAGCTGAGGATAGTGAGGCTCACATTGTTTAAGTCGATTGCTCATGGTCAGGCAGCCCATGAGTGGCAGGTCTGAAACCATGCCTGTGCCACCCAGC